TTGTAAATTATAAATTGTAACTATCACAATTAATTAATAAAGCGTGAAGACTGATGTCAAATATCACGCTCATGTGATGGCACACGTAATTATCATTTGTCACATTTAAGGTTGATTGAATGATACTTGAGAAAATTGCAATCTGACCCACCTTAAAAAATTAAATACAAAAAATCTTTTAAAATTATCAAATTATTTTGAAATCTCAAAAGACTTTATTGGAAAAGATTCTATTTATTTAATTACCAAATTATTCTTATTATTTTTTTAATTTTGTATTGACAACTGAAAGACCAGTCATTACAACTTATGGTGTAGGAATTAACAATTATCACGGCAGTTATTAACAACTCATGCATTACATTTTTGACAACTCATGTGTTGTCAATACTTATTGTGATAGTTGTTAAACCTTACACCTTAAGTAGTTAATGATTGTTCTTTCAGTTGTTAATGTAAAATTAAAAAAATAATAAGAGTAATTTGGTAATTAAAAAAATAAAATATTTTGTAATGAAGTCCTTTGGGATTTCAGAATAATTAGATGATTTTAATAGACCTTTTTGTATTTAATTCTCTTGGGTAGGATTTTATTGTAATTTTCCATGATACTTTAGTATTGTATATTATTTCATTACTATTATTAAAGTATTGGATTAAATTTTAATTTTGCCCAAAAATTTTTCTGTAAGTAGTCTGAGTATCCATAATTTTTTTAAAGATTAATTTAGTACTGAAATAGAAGTGTTTAATTTGTGCTGTCTCGGTCCCGATTAATTTAGGACGGGACGAGACGAGACAAAACATATTTCAAGAGAGGATGATTGTAGGACGAGACGAAATAGTAACCGAGACGGTACGGGACGCTAAAATTATTTATTATTAGATTATTCAATTTACTTATTTTTATTGTGATTTTTACCTCTTATGTTGTAATATTATCTCAACAAAATTTTTTCTCAATAAAATAATTTATAAAGCAATTAAATAGTGTTTCTTTTATGGTATTTTTTTTACAATATTATTTTTACACCTTTTTTACATTTAATTGAGATTTCTACATAATACTTTTTTAATAATGATTTTATCTTCAGAAGTCTAATAAAAAACAAGCATTATAACATAACAAAATATACATAAAATTATAATTTTTTAAAAAAAAGAAAATAAGACGTCCTAGTGTAACCAAGATAGTCTCAAGATGGGACAGGACATAGAACGAAAATCTCGTCCATCCCATGAACAGTCCTATTTGAAAGTATTAAAAAAATGAGCAAAGTTACTTCTAATAGCCATTAAAAATATTATCAATCAACGTTAATTTTTAATTGGTTAAGATGAATTTGCTCGTTTTTTAATATTTTTGAGGTAATATTGATGTTAAAAAAAACTTTCACATATGCATCGCTCTTGTGAAAAAAAAAAAAATCGGCTCAAAATTGAATCTTAACCACAAATCTGCTGACGTTTGCTGTTAGAAAGTACGCGGTCTTAGAACCTGTTTGGCTCGGTGTTTCAAGATCAATAAACAGCTTATAAGCCTGAAAAACCTAATTGCAAATTCTGATACTGTTTGGTTGAGCAATTAGACAATTTGATTTTTGTATGAAAAGTTACAATAAGCTATAAGCTAAAATTAACAGCTTATGACTTATAACTTTTGAAATATAGAGAGAGAGAAAATTAAGAAATTTATTACCTCCTTTGGTTCTTATTATAAGCATCGAATAATTAATTTGTAGATAATAAAAAATCAGTTAAAATTAGTTGAAAGTAATAAATAAATTAGAAATATATTTTTATTTTTAAATATGCTCCTAGAACTATACTTTTAGTTTTTCATGTTTCACTTTATATTTAAAATATTTTTATGATTTATCTAAAGTTTTAAAATTTAATTCACTCATTAAATTTGACTTCTTCATATTAAATTATTTTAATTTTATTGTATTATGTGAAATCATTTTTTTTAATCATGTTTCGTTATTTATTAAAACTCATACACATTTTAGTCATTTTACAACTAAACTTACTTTTACTCAATTATAATTCAAACAACTTTTTATTAATCTTACTTTTGCAAATTAGCTTTTCTGAACTCCAATCCAAACACAATTCAGCTTATCCAATTTAGTTTTTACCCAATTTCACTTTTCTAAAAATTACTTTTTTAATAAACTACTTCTTCAATCGCTGATCCAAACCCTTAATTTAGTTTATTATTCTGTTGTAATCTGTGTTTTATTTTATCTCATACAAATTTGATCAGTTCCTCTAAAGATGATTTCATAATTCTAGCAGCTTCCATGAGCAATATCAACCAAACACCCTTTGACAATAATTTGCTTTTTCATAGAAGACGGGTCAAAGACCCAAAAAGTCAAAAGAAGAAAATAGCTGCATCTTTTGACGGCAAACGTGATTTCGAATAAAAGAATTGGAACATGATTCAACCGACAGTCTGAAAACCGGGGGTTCTGAAAGCTGTGTTCAAACCGTAAAATTATTTTTAAGATTATTATTTAGTTTCAATCTAAACACTTAATTAAAAAATGTAACTTTGCCCAATAAAAAAATGCTTATGTTGTAATGATATAGTCATTCCTTTTTTTTTTTAAGAAATTAAAATATCATTGTCATATTAGAATCTTTCACAACGTTTGATTCGAGATGCCAAATTTTCTTTTACCAAATTATAGAAAGGTATACCAAACAAAAGTGACTAGAAAGATAATTTTCAATGACATTTATGAAATTTTTAGCTGTTCACAAATTGTAATTTTCAATAAAAATTCAATATTATTTTTTATTTTCTTAATTATTTTTTGGATATATCATATAAAATGGTTTTTTGTTACATATTTACTATTTATATGGGGTGTATGAAAATAATATCTTTGCAGGTATGGTAAAACCATAAAAAAAATATTTGAATTATCTATATTTTGTACTATTTATGATTATTTGATTATTAATGAAAAATATTTTATAACTTAATATTTAAAATATTATGTATATGTCTTTTATAAAAATAAGAATATTAATGGCTAATTATGTTATCGTTAATAGTTTAAAATGTCAAAGAAATAATATTTACTTCAAACACTATTTTGTCAGAAAATATGAATGACGATATTATAAAGTGTAATTACGACCAATAACTTGTTTTTTTATTTAATTTTTTTAAATATTAAGCATTACTAATTTGAATTCTGACTTTTTGAATGCGGTTTTTTTTAGAATAATCTTTTTTTTTTTGCTAGGTACAATAATCTTCTCATTGCAAGCAATTTTGATAGAGTCATTATTGGACAGTAACTATGAATATTTAAATCTTGATTGGGTTATGAGAATAATCACATGCAAGTCGCTCCATCGGCCTAAATTCAATTAGCTTCTGTTTTGGGGAACTTAAGAGCTTCTACGACCAAAGGCCCCAGCATGATATGGGTCTTTTTAATTTGAAACATACCGTCAATAATCACATGCAAGTCGCTCCATCGGCCTAAATTCAATTAGCTTCTGTTTTGGGGAACGGACCATCTAAACGGACCATCTAAGAGCTTCTACGACCAAAGGCCCCAGCATGAACGATATTTCTTCTCCCTGTGTTTTTTTTTTTGTAAAAAAAATATCTTTATGTCTTTTTAATTTTTTAACATACCGTCATGTTATTTATTTCTTTCCTTCTTTGCGCCTGGACGCATTATTCCATAATCACAATCCAATTCATTCTTTTTCTCTCGTAACTTTCAAACTTCGTAGCCAAATCCTGTTGCGCCTCCAGTATTTAAACCCGCTGGTATATGCTTTTCTCTCATCCCTGCATTGTCCCCCACGCGCACCTCGATCTTTCTCTGACGCGCGCCACCCTCTACTTCTTAAAAAGGCTCGGGAGCTGAATCCAAACGCCAATCCAACGCGTCACGTAGCCTCCCTTAACAGTTTTATTTTTTCGGGTATACAAAAAAATTTAGGTGAATTAGGTAACAAAAACTCATCAGATCAGATCATACCTCCGGACTCAAAGAGTGCTTATAGAAACACTTACAGATCACCCACCAATAAGATCCTTATATCTAAGATTACGAGCCGATTACTTACTAATTTGACCAATTTTTGTTGGTTAACAGTTCTAATTGTATCAGCGGTTAATGCTGGGTTTGAACGTAATCGGCCGCCCGAAGTCTCTTTCTTTTTCCCCAAGAAAAATCTGGTCACGTGACTCGCAACCATTTTGTTCTAACCTTCCCTTTAACCCCCGCTTGGATGAGAAGAAAAGTTGGGAGGAAAGAAAATGAGAGGAAAGAAAATGAAGAGAAGAGAAAACTGAAAGGAAAATATTATCACTCTTCCTGCTTGGATGAGTCAGAGAAAACAGAAAGGAAATAAAATGTATAAATATCAGAATGACTAAAATGCCCTTATTATAATTAATTGGCAAGAAACTAAATAATTTAGCAAAAAATTATTTTTCTATGTAAAAATAAAAAGGAAATAATTTTTGAACTTAATTAAAATAAAAGGAAATAAATAACTCATACATTATGTAATATTTTAATAAAATGATAAAAATCAAATAAAATTAAAGATCATAATAACATGAGAAATTACCCCTGAGAGTTTTAAAAAAAAAGTTGGGGGGGGGGAAGATGCAGCCGACTGGATGAATGTGATTACTGGAGCAGCGGCGGTGAGAGCTTTTTGGCACAGGAGAGAGAAGACGAACGATGCGAGCTTGGCGGGAGGGGCAATGTGGAAATGAACTGAAGCGGTGAAAATCTCTCCACTTGTGGAGAGAAATTTTGAGAGGAAAATGGGGTATGGGACCCACCATATTTTTCTCCCCACTTTTCTTTTCTCTCCTATTTTCTTTCTCATCCAAGCAAGGGAAAAAGTCCATTCCTCTCCCATTTTCTATCCCACTTTTCCTTCCTCTCCCATTTTCACTCAATCCAAGCAGAGCATAAATAATCCCTCCCATTTCCGCTTCCATTCCATGCTAAATCACTCCTAAAGCCTCATCTCAAATCTACTCTCAGTCTCTCTTTGAGCGCCGTTTTTCACATCCAGTAGTGTTCTCATGGGTATGATATGAAATTTTTTAATCTTTGTTTCATTGGTTTGCTTCTTCTCAATGTTGGTATATTAGTTGTTATGTGAACTTATCTGTTTGTGTTGACTTGCTGAGCAGCATCAGACAAGAAGATCAAGATCGGAATCAATGGTAATTGGTGTTCTTTCATGTCATAAATATGTTTTTTGTGAGGTTTCCGTGCTTTTTTTTTTTTGACGCTTTTCTGGAATGTGATGTGTTTTTGTAGGATTTGGAAGGATTGGCCGATTGGTGGCCAGGGTGGCTCTTCAAAGAGACGATATTGAGCTCGTTGCAGTCAACGATCCTTTCATCAGCACTGAATACATGGTATTGCTTTTCTCTATTGATTCTTTGATCTTATTGTTGAAGGAAATTTGAAGTTCGCATTTATGTGATCCTGGTTTTTGCTCACAATGTACCTTGTTTATGTGATTGCTCTCACAGACGTACATGTTTAAGTATGATTCTGTTCATGGCGCTTGGAAGCACTTTGATATTAAAGTGAAGGACTCTAAGACCCTTCTCTTTGGAGAGAAGCCCGTCACTGTTTTCGGACTCAGGTAATGTAGTTGAGTTGTTCGTGTGCGAGACACAGAGAACCAGAGAATTCGATGCTCTTTGCCTGTATGATTCTTCGCTGTTTTCTTACTTGTTATTGATTGTGTAATACTAGGAACCCTGAGGAGATCCCATGGGCTGAGGCCGGTGCTGAATATGTTGTTGAGTCAACTGGTGTCTTCACAGATAAGGAAAAGGCTGCTGCCCACTTGAAGGTTTGCCACGATCACTATTTCTAACTGTTTGTGTTGAATTATTGGTTGCATTCTTGGCTTCTGGTAATGCATCGGCTCTGTCTTGAAGTTTTTTCCCTTAAGCTTGTCTGGCTTTGATCTGAGTAATCTGCTAAAACTATTTTTCTGTCCCTGTTTCCTTCAATAAGGACACTTTTTCCCTGATGTTGAATGTTATTCTCAAATCTGAAGTCTGATCTCCCGTTCTCAAGATCTAATAGGGATTTGATTTTGGATTGTGGTGGTGATTAGGGTGGTGCTAAGAAGGTTGTCATTTCTGGCCCAAGCAAAGATGCGCCCATGTTTGTTATCGGAGTTAACGAGAAGGAATACAAGCCAGAGCTTAACATTGTTTCCAATGCTAGCTGTACTACCAACTGCGTTGCTACCCTCGCCAAGGTTTTCCTTCTGAATCCTTCTGACATCTTTATGTCTGCCAATAACTTGCCAATACTATGAAACTTTATACGCTTGTCCTTTTTCTTAACAGTTTGAATTTCATGGCAGGTTATCAATGATAAGTTTGGAATTGTGGAGGGTCTCATGACCGCTGTCCATGCCATCACTGGTGAGTTATTCAACAAAATATGATAGCTGAGTTGCTTTCATGTTTATATCACTTTAAGATGTTAATCAAAGGTCGGTCTGTCTGTTTGTCATTCAGCCACTCAGAAGACTGTTGATGGTCCATCAAACAAGGACTGGAGGGGTGGACGAGCTGCTTCCTTTAACATAATTCCCAGCAGCACCGGAGCTGCTAAGGTACATAGCCATGAACAAAAGTTATGCTTGTTGCCATTCTTGTAGCTTAGGAAAAAAAATTATTAGTTAAAAAAAAAAAGGACCGAACCGGCCAATTCAATCAGAAAATCAATAAACTGACCAGTGTTCTAGTTCGGTTTAAGCAATGAAACGAAATTAACCTGGTGTAAACCAGTGCGAACCGACAAAAACTGTTGTAAACCGATGATGAATCGGTTTGAATGATTATTTTACTATTAGTCCTATTTTTTCTTATTCAACTCCTAATATTTCAATCACTATATATTTGAATGAATTTTAATGATAGTTTTGGTATCAATGATTATTAATTTTAGTTATTGGGGAATCATAAAGATCAAAATTCTCAATGTTATTGTATTTTGTTATTATTACAATCAAATTATTGCTGTATTTCCTTATATTTTGCTATTAGTGATTATTAATGTTGTAATATTTTGTTATTTTGAATTAAATTCTATTATTTTAATGTGACTGGTTTGAATTAAATTCTATTATTTCAATGTTATTGTATTTTGTTATTATTACAATCAAATTATTGTTGTATTTCCTTATATTTTGCTATTAGTGATTATTAACGTTGTAATATTTTGTTATTTTGAATTAAATTCTATTATTTTAATCTAACTGGTTTGAACCCAATCCGACCCACTAGTCCTTGAACCATTATCTCAATCGATTTAGTGTTCAATCTGGTTTGTTGTTTCTTGAAAATTATACTTGTCAGATACAGCTAATTTGTTTGAATGCAGCAAGTGATTCTCACTAATGAATTCTCAAAATCTGAATGATGCATAGGCTGTTGGAAAAGTTCTGCCCCAGCTGAATGGCAAATTGACAGGAATGTCTTTCCGAGTCCCTATAGTTGATGTCTCAGTTGTTGACCTTACTGTCAGGCTAGAGAAAAAAGCAACCTATGAGCAGATCAAAGCTGCCATCAAGTAAGTTCTTAAAATTTGAAGCCTACCTTTTATTTACTTAAATGATTGTCGCATATGATGCATCTAGAAATGTTTCCATCCTAAACATTTTCTGTTGTTGAAAACACCCAGAGAGGAATCAGAGGGTAACCTGAAGGGAATCTTGGGATACACTGAAGATGATGTTGTGTCTACTGACTTCATTGGTGACAACAGGTAATGTTATTAATTATATTTGAATCATTCTTTGGATCTTCAGACCAGTAGGTGGGGTTACACTGAAGAAGAGATGACGATGTTCCATTGATGCAGGTCAAGCATATTCGATGCCAAAGCTGGAATCGCTTTGAATGATAACTTTGTAAAGCTTGTTGCTTGGTATGACAATGAATGGGGTTACAGGTAATTTATCTATTCCTTATTGCCATCACTGTCCTTGGACGAGGAAATGTATTATGCTACCTTTGACCCTTCTTCAGATTTGCACAGATTTGATATTCACAACAATTTTTGTTTGTCTCTTTTTGCAGTACCCGTGTGATTGATTTGATTGCCCACATTGCATCTGTTGCTTAAATCCTTCCAGGCGCATTGGATCACCCGGATTTGAATTTTGTCTCACTGGAGGATGTGTCGAATATTTGGGGTGTTTCAGAATAAGCATTTGTGCTGTCCTTAGTGTAGGCACAAAGCAATCTATTTCGAGTGTGCCCTGTTATCTTATAGCATATATAGGTTTTCCCTTCTCTTGTTCAATAGAAACGGATCTTACGTTGTCCAAGGGTGAAAAAGAAAGAGAGAAAACTATACAATGCCCAGTCATCTGATGGCATACATAGGTTTTCCCTTCTCTTGTTCAAGAGAAACGGATCTTACGTTGTCAGGGGGGAAGAAAGAAAGAAAGAAAACTATACAAAAGTAACATTGGGTTTCTGACATCTTTGTTTTTGTTTAATACTATCGCCGGTTCAAATAATAAGATAAACTTTATTTATTTATATTTATTAAAAAAATTAGTTAAAATTAGTTTAAAACAATATAAATGTAAGGCATGTATTTTTTTTCCTCAAATATGCCCTCATTAATGAAGAGAATAAGTAAAAAATGCAACAAATAAATTAAAGACGAAAGAGAATATATGAGTGGTAAAATTAAAAAAAAAACACATTGAATACTTAGACAAAAGTAAATTTTATTTTATATAAAAAAAAAAACCAAATCCCTCCAAAGTTTAGCTTATATTTTGAATAAGAGGGAGTGGTAATTAGTATTCAATTTCAATTTTGTGGTTTATGCCTTCATCAGAGAATAGAGCCTTCACTTTCCATGCCTAACATATTGGGTGAAACCACGTATGTTATACTACAAATCAGGTCTTATATTTAAAATCAGAGGTAGTATAAGATCTTAATCAACTTTGTCTTCTATTTTTTGGAAAAATATCCCTATCGATTAGAAGAGGTTCTACTAAGATGTATTCCAAAGCACATGATTAAATATGATAATTTAGAAAAGTCAAAACATGTTTGTCACAAATGACTAACTTAACTAAGTTTCTTAATATTTTTAAATTAGTTATCTAATTTTTATATTAAAGACCAAAGGTAATATAACAAAAATTGTTATTTGCTAATGTAAAGTAGTTATTGATGTCAAGATCATTTTCTTCCTAATATTTCTCTGGTCAGCATGCCCAATATAGCCATTTTATGACAAAAATTAATGCAAAATTAGTTCATGTAAACGTTAGATAAATAATACTATAACTTCCAGGCACCATTTTAAGAGTTTTATATGTTCGGTGGCCAAAGAATATATGAATACATGAGTTGTAAAGAAAATTGAAGGACTAAAAATTTTGGATTCCAAGGATAACCACGTGATGTCACCTTCCTAAGGGTGCTTTGGGCCTATTTGCATGAAGGTTCGGTAAATGGTGTGATTCATGTCAGGTAGCACTGTGTTTTCCGTTATTTTACATTTTATCTATTAAGGGTGTGTATGGACCAAAACAGACCGGGTTTAGCATCAAGCTAAAGTCTGGGCTGATGAAAACGTCGGGCCGTAAAAGACCACAAAGGGGAGGATGAAGATGGAGAGTCAGAGCCACAACCACTCCCATGGATCAACGCCAAACCAGGGGGAGTTGGGATCAACGCCAACACCGACGAGGGTGAGACGGTGAGTGAGGGAGGCCGACGCCGACCATGGGAGACGGTGAGTGAGGGAGGCTGCCATGCCGTTATGGTTAGGGCTTCTCTCCTCTTCTTCGCCTTCAACAAGAGAGTAAGTGAGAGAGAGTGATCTAATTCTGAATGAGGGAGTGAGGGTATGAGCGACTATGACCAGTGAGTGTGATTTGTGCAGTATGGAACGGCACTGTCTAACTCTAAAATATAAAGCATAATAAAACAAAGGTTACTCGGGCCAGACTAAACTAAGTGATTTGAGTCCCTAGTCTGAAATCCGATCCAGCCCGACCAATCAGTTTGGTCTAATTTCATGATTAAACTGATTTTTGTCGGACTGAGTTACTTGGACTGCCGAGTTTTTCGCTCAATCCTACTATCTACTACATAATTTAAGGAACTAGTTACCCTACTAATATTTTAAAAAAATTGGTACCTCATGCACTAAATGTAAGAGTTAAATAAGAGGATTATTTTAGTTATAAATATAAAATTTTAGTCTAATCTATCTCTCAAATTTATAACTTATTCTTCAAAGTATCCTTGTATATTATTTGAACATAGTAAGGGAGTCCTCGTCAAGGAGTAATTGCAATGCACATCATTCAAAAAATTATTCTAGAAAAATCAATACATATATATGCTACTAATAACTAATTTTCTTAATATCCTCAAATTAGTTTTCTAGTTCTTATATTAAGAATCAAAAGTTATACTACATCTGGTTCTTAATATAAAAGTTAGATAAGTAATTTGTAAATATTAAGAAAGTTCACTAAATATTTACTTGTAATAAATGAGTATTGCTTTTCCTGAAATACACTTGTTAATCATATCAATTAGAATGAAAATTCTTTAATATGTGCAATTATCATGAGGGCTACTTTAAAAAATGAATAAATATGAGAAGTAAAGTGAACTGAAATATTATATTTAGGATCAAATTGAATATATTTATATTTAAAAAGGTTAAGGTGCATCCAGCATTTTAAGTATTTTCTGAGATGCATCTGATCCCCTAAAGTATTTTATGGTGCATTGAACATCTTAAAATACATTTCAGGAGCATTCAGCACCTTAAAGGGTTTTTTTTTTTTTTTGCCTTGGTGCTGGATCTACCAAAAATATTTTAAGATGTTGAACATACCTAAAAAAATACTTTAGGGTGCTTGATGTACCAAAAAATATTTTAAGTTGCTAGACACATTTAAAAGAATATTTCAGAGTATTAAATGCATCACAAAATATTTTAGGATGCTAGATGCACCCAAAAAAATACTTTGAAATGCTGAATGTATCTTGACTCTATATTTAAAACTGGAAGCAGTATTGTTGAAGATCCCCGATTCTCTTGCTATACTTTCATATCGAATGAAGAATGATCTTTGTATTCCTGATCAGCCACATCCAGTTTTAACCAAAAAAGGTGGTTTGGATTGGCAGCTCTTTCGGTTTTATTAATACTACTATTTGGCATTTTAACTCATTTTTTCTTTTTATTTTTCTCATATTTAAAGAGCTATTAAGGAAATTTACAGAAACTTTTAGTCAAGAGCGCCAAGCATCTAAAATTTTTTCAGAAATAAATTTACTTCAAAAGTTTAAAATTGTAACATTTTTTCTTACTATTAAAAAACTAATGTTGGTTGTTAACATTTTTAGCAATAGGAGGCTATATTACTATGATTTTAAACTAACGTTGGCTATTAACATTTTAAACTTTAGAAGCAAATTTGCACAGGAAAAAAAAATTTAGATGCCAAGTGCTTTTAAATAAAAGCTTTTGGAGCAAATTTACATCTTAACTCATTTTAAGCCAAACTATTGACTGATTCAACAATTTGTTTTTTTTATTGTCAAACCAACTAGTTGGGTGCATTTTTAATTTTATTAACTCAATTTACAAATTCTACATCATCATGTAATTTTTTTTTTGGTGATAACATCATGCACATTTGTACATTACCTTACATCATCATTTTCCTAAGCACCTGTAAATTGACCTTATTACGTCACTTATATTTATAAATTATAAATTATAAATTGTAACCATCACAATTAATTAATAAAGCATGAAGAGTGATGTCAACCATCACGCTCATGTGATGGCACATTTAAGCATGTGGGTGCATGAAGGCCGATTGAATGATACTTTAGCATTGCGTGTTATTCATTATTATTAAGATATTGGATTAAAATTCAATTTTGCCGGAAAATTTTTATGTAAGAAGTCCGAATATCCATAAGTTTTTTTTTTAAAAGATTAATTTAGCTCTGAAAGTATTAAAAAATGAGCAAGGTCTCTCCTAATAGCCGTTAAAAATATTACCAGTCTTGCTTAAGATGTATTTGCTCATTTTTTTAAAAATATTTTTGAGGCAATATTAATTTTAACAAAACTTCCACAGGCGCACCGCTCTTATACAAAAATTTTCGGCTCAAAATTGAATCTTAACCATAAAATACTAAAGTCTTCGGGCTATATATGTCTGTGCGCGCACGCGCGCCCGACATATATTTAAATCTGCTGATTTTGCTGTTAGAAATACGCAGCCTTAATTTAGTTTATTATTCTGTTGTAATCTGTGTTTTATTTTACCTGCTACAAATTTGATCAATTCCTTCAAAGATGATTTCATAATTCCGGCAGCTTCCATAAGCGGTATCCATAAAGGCACCCTTTGACAATAGTTCTGCTTTTTCTTAGAAAACGAGTCAAAGACTCGAACAGTCAAAAGAAAGAAACAGCTCCGTCTTTTGACAGCAGACTTGATTTCCCTATAAAAGAATTGGAGTATGATTCAACCAACAGTTTGAGGAGTAGTAGGTTAAATTATGACACAATTTTTTTATATATTTAATTTATACATCATAAAATTATTTTTAAAATTATGATTTGATTTTCATCTAAATATTTGATTAAGAAAATGCAACTTTGCCCAATTAAAAAAAATGCTTATGTCGTAATGATGTACTAATTCTTCAATTAATTTATTTTTTAAAAGAAATTAAAATGTCATTGTCATATTAGAATCTTCTATAACCTTTGAGTTTGATATTTAATGACATAATTGCAATTTTTCCCGTTTCTTTCCTTCTTTCTTTCTTGCGTCTGGACGCATTGTTCCATAATCACAATCCAATTCGTTCTTTTTCTCTCTCGTAACTTTCAAACTTCTTCGCCAAACCCTGTTGCTCCTCCTGGATTTTCAACCCGGTATATGCTTTTCTGATTTCTCTCATTCGCCCACATTGCCCCTCACGCGCGCTTCCGTGTTTCCTCATGACGCGCCCCATCCTCTAACTCATGTTTGGGTCCGCATTTGCTGGCCCAATCGTGATTTAAAACGAAGATAAACTTGATTATATTTTTTGGTGTTGTTTGGTAGGACTTATCTTGTATTGGGCTTATGAAAATTTAAGCTGTCCAACCGTGCGTTTAAAATAAGCCAGAGGAGAGAGTTTATTTTCAACCTTGAAGAGCTTATTACTGTTCTAAGTGTGTCAGAAATTTTTTATTTTCTCTTTCCCTCCCTTTTGGCATTATTATTCCTTGTGACTTCAATTGTTTTTTTTTTTTATCAAGAGCAATCACCCACCTCATCCTCTACCATCCCCAATTCTTTGTCACCTCCTCCCAGAAGCTCCGTTGCTAGTCGTCGTGAGCTGCGTCACATCACCGGCATGAGGTCTCATGTTGGGTGCGTGGCGTGCTAAAGGCTACTCCTTCATTGAAAGTCCAAGTTGCATTCACCTTATCTGA